AGCAGTTAGAATAAATAAAGCAGACAAGCTGCAACCACATACTGCATAAAAGGCAGGACCTGTATGACTACATGAGTCCAGGGATTCATATGCAAGAAAAATACCCAGAAGACCAGGATTTGGGAGCTCAAAGACGGATTGCTCATTAGCCTTCTCAGGCAAGTCCCTCCAGCTTTCCCCTACAATTGTTCTATGGCTGTACAAATAATCAAATACTTATTAGATGGAAGAATAAGAAGCCCTATGTCTCTGAAGCTTAAATCCCTGCGCCAATGTGTAGAAAAATGGGACCTGTTTGAAGACCAGAAATACTGAAATAACATAGACTATTACCTTCTTTCTGATTTTGACCAGAAACCTACTTTTGATCAGAAAATCCTTTTGTAAGAATTAACTTCAAATGACATGTTTCTGCAAGGAATGTTCTTTTTGTGGGAAAATTCCAGACTAGCTTTACATGAGGACCGCACATGCACATGGAAGGAGGATGTTGATGCTGATGAATTGCTGCTTTCAGCTGTAGAGTTTAATTATTCTTGTTCTCTACAGCTGGTGTTATTGTGTGGTGATGTGTTTGTCTTCTGACACCTCAGAGGGGAGGATGAAATGAAGTTTCTACGTTCACAGTGCCAAAGGGACAGCTTGAATAAGAAATGTGGAAATAAGACCTGCATGACTATGTCCTCTGGCATAAGTGATGAATCCCTGTTCTTCAGATCTTGTTTTCTAGCAGCACTTACAGACTAGAAGCATTCTTTTTAAAATGTTATAGCAAAATGATACTAAAGTTAAGCCTATTTTGACAGATGAAAGAAATGAAGTAGTTTATATTGGCTGATTTCTAGCCTTTGTTCCTGAAACCTTTCCCTTCACTTTTACAGGCTGGAGGGGTCACTAACCCTACTTACTTTCAGTTTATCAGCCAATAATCACTTACGTGGCACTATGCCTTTGAAAACAACAGCTGAGACAAGACCTGATACACAGTCTTTTGTCCTCAATGCCTTCCTAAATACCAATCTGAGGTGGCTGAAGGGACCGAATACTCCGCATCTGATAATGACACATTAACCAAGCTTGTCACATGGAAGGTTTGGGGGAAGTTTACAATACTGCTATGCGGGAAACGTCTCTACTTTGATGGCATAATGAAGTCATACTAAGCAAAACAGTCTCTGCCACTGGACATTAATGAGAGTGAACACTTTTTCTGCTCCAAGGCATTTTAATTGTATCACAAGCAGAGGCCATCTGGCTGAAAAATGAATATTCAGGATCTGAAGCAGAAGCAGAAATACTTGAGAGGGAAGTGGTACCTTCCTGGCTTCCAGCTTTGACAGTACCCATCACTAAAACTGGTGTGTTTCACAGTTGGCTAAATTGCAATCTGATGCCCAACGAATGTCTTTCCAGGCTATTATCATCTTATTAATTAGTTGTTGTTTACTAGTTTAGATTTCATCTCTTCAAAAAGAGTTAAAATTCCTAAGGGATAACATATTTCACTGCACTCCAGAGGACTGTGATAGCTCATCAGCTTTTATTTACAGAGAATTCATATGGGTAGAAGTCTGGGTTTTTTAGGAATAATCAGGTGCAATCACTGTTTATTAAAAATGTAGAGGAATCATTTACAAAATGGAAATTTAAAGCATGAGTACTACAGCAGACAATAACTTTTCTGAGAAAGAACTGAGCTGAGAAAGAATGAAACCATCACTTCTAAAGGGCGGGAATTTGTTTCACAAATTTTATGACTATCACTGGATCTTTAGCTTAGTCTATATTATTTATAGAAGGGTGCCTCTTACTGCACCTTGTTGGGGAAAAAGAAAAACACAAACTGATTAGGCAGATTTTTCTGAGCTACTTATGAAGACCGGAACACAACGTTTCACAATTCTAAGAAACTCAAGCTGTTAATACTTTCAGTAAATTATATGTATTTGTCATGGCCTATTTAGGAGACTGTAGGTTTATTTGTTTAAGTTTCTAAATATCTTGAGGCGGGTCTGAGGCAGATGTTGAGCTGGCAGCCTTGTCTGCCACACTGAACCACCTCAAAATACAAGCAGCCCAGCGAGAGTCAAGACCAGGCTGCAAACCCTAGGAGCTATTTGACTTGAATGGAAGTGTGACCATTGCTGCCAGAAATGCATTTCAAGGTAGTGAAGGCTCTGCCACAATATTTTGGAATTAAATCAAACAACATGTTGACTCTCTCCTGAGGGAATGTGATACGATACATCCGTGATGCATTTTCTCACTGGAGCTATCTGGGCTGTGCTGGCTGTCACGAGTGCCAGGTTGCACCAGGTGAAGCAATTTCCTGCACACGTTTAGAAACCGCTCTGGAATACTTCAGGGTGATAAAACTTAGTTGAGCCAATATGATTAGGGAGCTATCACCTCATTTTCACTGCATTACTGCCATAATCCAAGAAGGAAGATTCATAAATGTGCACTTGGGAATGAAATTCCAGGGGAGAAGACATCCATAATACTAACTATCGATTATTATTATCAGACAACTGAATTTTCTTGTACTTGCTTTCTTACTTTTCTCAGGGGAAATTTACCCCAGGGCATGAGATCAACACACGACCCACACTGGCTTGAATGCTAGATACTATGGCCCTCAGTACAGCCTTACTGAAATTGCCTGGCAGGCTTTCCACGAGAGCTTGCCATGGAGCTAAACAAAGCCCTGTGATGCATGTCTGCTGGACCTGAACAGGGCATAGCTATGTGAGGAAGTGCTCCTCAATGTGACAGAGAAAGGGAAAATCCATAATACATAAACATCTCTTAAGTCATAAGCAATAAACAATAATCAATAAACAATCAGCAAAGAGAAACTGGAGCTGTAACTCAAAAGTCTAAAGGAGGATGGGAAGAGTGATAGTAAGAGTTTCCCTCTCCTTGGTCTTACAGGAAAGCCACACTGAGTGTTGTATGAAAATGTGAAAATCTCAGCCTCGATAACTGAAGCATTCAGTTATCTAAATCTGAAGTTATTCTGACTCAAAAAGCAATCGACGCATTTGCTTTTCAGGCAGTACACGTATCGCACTGCCATGCAAGTCAGAATGTCTGTTTGTCACTCACTGCAAGGCAGAATTCCTTTGGAGGGGTATCTCATCCAAAGAATAGGAAGTGATCAGGAACTATCGGCAGCATTACTGTAAGAGCTATAAGTGTGAGACTCCCTCATGTGATAAATCCAAACTCATTTTATGAGTGTTCACTGAGATCCCATTCAGTAACTAAACACAACCAGTATAATACAAAAATGTCTCCCTGGGCACACCAATAAAACTGGATGGGATTGAGTGCTGTAAACAACAAGAGATTTCTCACTTTCAGACAGAAATTTTGTCAGAAATTTATGGCTCTAGAGGAAATGCTGAGCACAACCTAAACATCCAGGGAGACCTTATAGTGGCCTTCCAGTACCTAAAGGGGACCTACAGGAAAGCTGGGGAGGGACTGTTCACAAGGGTGTGTAGCGACAGGATGAGGGGCAATGGTTTTAAACTACAGCAGGGTAGATTTAGACTAGATATCAGGGGAAAGTTCTTTACTATGAGAGTGGTGAAACACTGGCACAAGTTTCCCAGAGATGTGGTGGAGGTCCCATCCCTGGAGAGATTCAAGGTCAGGTTTGATGGAGCTCTGAGCAACCTGGTCTGGTTAAAGATGTCCCTGCTCACTGCAGGGGGTTGGACTAGATGACTTTTAAAGGTCCTTTCCATGATCTAAATGAAACTGTTACGTTAGCAAGGTGAAGTAAGTCCAAAGAAAAAACACCATCACCCTAGACTGGTATTTAAAATGACAATCACAAGAGGCAAAACAAGTGTAATATATACAGTCTGTCAAAGCTGCATTCTGCTTCTTTAAGAATGCATTACATTTTATGAGCATTCCTATTACAATTTTATTGCAATATTCAAGGTGTACTCAGAAGATACTATTATTTTTTTTAAATGTGGGTTTATTTGTTTGCATCTTATTTTACAGCCACTCTTCCAGCCTCCAGTTTAATTTCTAAAATTAAAGCTAGTGATATTTCCATATCAAAGTTTAAAATTAATTTGCTTTGTGGGACATGTGCCTTGATCTAAAATACTTCATTTTAATTAGGACATTTAATTTTCTCTAATGGAGTCAGGTTCCATTCACTTAAGCCAAAACTACTTTCTGAAAGAGTTATAAGCAGTACATTTTCTCAGCACAAGTCCTCCTAAGGCTTTTCCACATGAGGAGATTGCACCTATGCAGCTAGACTGACTTCAGATTGATCTACTTACACCACCACAAACTGCTACTGAAGTTAACTCTGACTGGGTCTGCCCCACTTCTGGATCTTTTTACAAACAGTTTAAGTTTCCTAATGCCCACAGGAATAGACAGTAGAAAATCAAGTACCATTACAAGTATGTGTTGGGATGAAAAATCTAAATGAACATTGTCCTCCTCCCAGACCACGAGTGTCGAGACCCACACAGCCTGGAGTATGGCCATTTCCCACCACCATTTTTGTAGTGGGAAACAGCTTCCTTCTTCCTTTTCCCTCTTCTTCATAACATATTGCGTTTATGCAAGCTGTGCCAGATCATGTCTAGTTCTCATCAAGAGGACGCACAAGGCATTTCTGAGGAACACTTTGCATATTCTGGCTCCACGTTAGGATGATGCTCTGTCCCTGTGCACGCACAAAGGCACACCAAGAGATCAGGGCAGAGATAATCAGTGCATGGGCACAGGCAGTGAAAGGCATTTCCTTCACTTAATGTGAGAGCTCGCTCCCTCCATTTAAAATAGATATTTGCTCTGGGGAAGGCCTGTCTTTATCAGTTTTGTACTTCTCATTAGTGCCAACAAATGTAATAAATACTATATGTGATGATAAACTCCAAAATCCCTTCAGCCCCGTGCTGACTGCAGTTCTCAAAATGCAGAGGCATGGCAACAAAATGATTTAAAAAACTGCATACCTTGAAAAATAGCCAGGCTGTCATCCATTTGGCCAGTTTTACAACCCAGAAGACATGCTTGTAGAGCTCAGTATTCACTACTCCAGGGTCTACTACATTAGCAGTCACATGGCTTCCATTTGCAGTCAGAAGATGCTGTAGTCGATAGGTAAATAACACAAGGGCAAGTTTGCTTTGGGCATAGGCTCCATGGGGTGAATAAGAACATCTGTATGTAAGAGAGAAACAGAGACACAGATGCACATAAAAATAATCAGGAGGAAAACAGAATTGCACAAACATCAAATGTACTGCATTTTGCAATATCCAGCAAACAAACAGCTATACATTGAGTTGTCAGAAGAAACAGCTTATCACTGGCAGGCGTGTTTGCTGGAGTTTTGGCGATTATCCTGTCAGACACCAAGTCTGATTTATGGTAGGAAAAGAAATTAAAATAAAATTACATCGTACTTGCCAGAATCTTTATATGAAACTATTTAAAGTAGAAATGCTGAGGCAGCAATCTCCATGATACCGTCACCTAGAGGCCTTCAAACTACTCCCCCTCCTCACTGCTCTCTTCCCACACATATGAACCCTCATCCTACCCAGTAAATCCGTGCCTGATCATACTAGCCCTGGTTATTATTATTTGTTTTGTGGCAAGACCTACTAGTTTCTGATGAAGGCTCCTGTGCTGGGCACAAAAGCAGATGAGTAAGACAATCATTGCACCTGCCCCAGTGACACACCAGATTACACACAGCTAAAGAGATGGATAAAAAGATGGGGTAAGGAGAGCAGCTGCAAGTGTAACCACAATTATGCCATATACAGCCTTTAGAGCAAAGACAGCTGGCTGGGTCTGTGCCGAACAGGAGGTGTGACAAAGGCACACAAATACTGTGAGTTAAGGCAAAACATTACCTGTTGAGTCTCCTGTGCACCTCACTCATCTGGATGCTGAATCTGCCTCTCCTTCAAGTCAAACTTTCTAGGAACTGGTGATTAGTTTGGTTTCACTGCAGGCAGGCAGGAGTATTTTTTTATGTTTTTTTTTTAATATGCAGGTTAGTTCCAGGCAAATTATCAATTATGTCACTTAAAATGCTCCTCCTGAGAGGGGCCTCAGCATCACTTCCACAAATTCCTATGCCATGACAATTCACTCTTGTAATTACTACAGCCTCTCATCTAACTTTTTTGCTGTGCTTAACAGAACTGACGGTAATTCCTGGCATTACACAACAGCTCACAGGCAAAGCGGGAGCCTAAAGCACCGGGCTCCTGTGCTCTGCAAGACAGCTCTGGTCCCCATCCCCTTTGCCTCTGCCAGAGCCTGGGGACGTGGTGCTGCTGTGGAGCCAGGGTTAAGTTCCATGGGGCAGCAGGTGCTGCTGGTGAAGGGACACAGAGGGGCACCCACCCAGAAGCAGATCTCTCTTTCCCAGCCCTCCTTCCCTCTAGTTGTTGTCCTGCCTCTGTGACAGCTGCAACTACAGCTCCGCCTTCTACACCTTCAATCTCAGTGCAGCAAATGCCCAGGCTGAGGATACTCCTACTCTGCTGAAAAGCTTGCCTTTGGTTTTCTGTGGTTGCTACTACATGCAAGGTTTTTATTTTGAACGAATAGCAAATATGTCTCAGAGTTCTTTTTGTTATCTCATTCTCATCAAATTCGTTTTTTATAATATCCTGCACACTTTACCACAGAAAGCCCTGGATGCTAACAAGCAGGCTGACTCTCTAGAGAGGTATAAGGCTATCGAAGCAATTTAACTGTTCGTGTTATCCAAACAGACTCAGAAACTTGGAGACACAATTGCAAATTGTACAGCTCAGCTACAGGAAGTAAAAGACAACAACACTGAACCTCCAGTGTATCTATTTTTTTTTCCTTCTTTCTTCTCCTGCTCTATTCTTGTTCAAGCAAATCACAAACAAACAGGTTACAAAAGCATCATATAAATTGAGAGAGAATAATAAAGGATAGCTGATCCTGAACAGCCCTTGCACCAACCAACGGCCTGAGCTGTAACAGGCTGGATAACACAGCTCCATCATCATAAGGATATCACCTGCGCCTCGGGGTAAAATGGGCTATTTTAAGAGTAAAGAACAATCACTGCATGAATATAAAAGTGACTTGGCATTAGTCAGGAAATTGCAGTTACATTTTAAATTCAGTAACGTCCGTGCTCTGATCTGAGACACTCAAAATGTCACCTTATGCTTCATGCATATTTCAACCCTCTTAACTTGAAGGACCTGATCCTCAGCCGCTACAAGCTCTCCTTGCGCAGCCATGCGGGGCAGAGCTCACAACACCCATGGGAAGAAGCTCTCATCCGAAGCCGCCTCCGGCAGCCAGCTGGCAGCCAACCCTGGCACGTCTCCATCGGTGCCACCATTCCCCCACCCTGGGAGGAACACAAGCCGGGGCACAAGATGAGCTTCCCAAGTTGAATTAGAGTGATCCTGTCTGGCAAGCAGCTTGTAGGGAAGCAGAGATGGGGACTACTCTGACTTGTTCTGCCTGGGTCTAGTCTGGCCTTCAGTAACCTTCCGATGCCAGGCAGGAGGTGGGTGAATTCTCCCCATGACTTCCCATTCCCACATTTTCTGTGAGTGCTGTTTTGACTTACCTTGTGGCAACGAAGTATGAACTACAAGGGCCAGATCCTCAAAAGCTTTGTACTTTGCATAGATAGCAATGTCAGAGGAACACGAGTGCAGAGGAGATATAAAAAGCTGTCCAATCAGAAAGGAAGCCTTTTATATCACAGTGCAGAGATGCAAATCATTTGCAAGGCAGTGGGGAATCAGACTTCAATAACATATTATAGATATGAATAATATCAAATTGGATACACAGAGCAGACACTTTTGGCAGAACCCCTGCAGTGATTACCTGCTCTATTCCCATTTTCGCTGTGTGTGCTCTTTGCTTTCCAGGAATCTGACATCAATGGACTACGCAAGACAGAAGAATAATCTGTGAAACAGAACTGACAAGTATTTTTGTTGAACAACTGTTGTGTTTGTGAGACCCCATCTTATTAGAATCATGTTGTTTAAATGTCACGTTGGGAAAAAATCAATGCTGGATACTTGATTTCATTGCATCCAGTCTTGACTTTATGCATCAGAAAAACAGGAGCACACAGGCCTTGTACCACAATTGTATCTCAAATGCACACACATACAGAATCAGAGAATGGTTTGAGTTGGAAAGGATCTTTAAAGATCATCTAGCCCAAACCCCCTACTATGGGTAGGGGCACCTTCCAGTAGATCTAGTTGCTCAAAGCTCCATCCCACTTGGTTTTGAGCACTTTCAATTATGGGGTATCCACACCTTCTCTAGGAAACCTGTTCCAGTGCCTCACTACCCACATTGTAAAAAATTTCTTCTTACGTCCAATCTGTCTATCCTCTTTCAGTTTAAAACCGTAAAATATATTTCTCTTACACATCAAATTATCCTTTAAAGCTTATGCGTCTAAATCTAACCTATCTTGGTGCTCTGTGCTCTATATGTACATTTTCTGCACTGAATCAAAGTATAATTGTATAGTAAATAAATTAATATTGACATTATGCGGTTTTGCATCACTTTCATTTTCCGAAGGCTCTAATAACTCTCTGAATTGAAAATGCATACAGAAGGCCAACCAGCCCAAAGTAGAACCCAGCCCACCAGCAAACTGTGCTGACGCACCAGTGCATGGCAGGTGCCATAACATTCAGGCCCCTGAGGACACAGGGTATTGATGCTTCACAGCAAGGCAAGCAGACTTTCAAGCAGAGAAACTCTACTTCCTACCTCGGTGGCCAGCCAGCCAAATGACTGGTAGCTCCCAGCTCTCAGCAGTATAGAGGCATGTTGGCCAGTTGGCTAGAGAGCTAGGAAGTACCGGTGTTTGACTGCCCAGGGATTCATCCTAATAAATTCTGCCCACCAGGCTCAAGCTTTGCCAGGCAGCATGTGCTGGGGTACAGCAACTCTGTGCATGGTGAGCAGCTGGGAAAAGCGGAGCAAGGGCTCCACAGGAAGAACTCCAGAGGGAAAGGACGGGTGTGCCTGGTATTGGGAACTTGGAAGTTCGTGCTCACCCACTCATCTGAGTGGGGGTCTCTGTGGACCACTCATCCTAACATGGAAAACAATCTCCACCTGGGGGGATGCACTTCCAAAGCATTTTGCCGAGTCGGTGCTGATCAAATAGGGCGATGCACAATTCACTAAATGGAAACTACAGGATGAGTTAAGGCAGACAGAATTTAATTAGCTGCTTCGAAATCCAGCCAAGAGACCAGCAATATGTAAGACCGTCTCCTTCCTTTTAAAATAATGTTTTATTGATTCTCTGCTGGTGAATAAAGGATCAGGAACAGGAAGGCTGCACAACTTCTGTTCAATTATTTTTTAGCAGAAATTCTTATTTTTGGCTTAAGATTTTTTGCAACATAGGCTGACAAGTTTGAACTGAGAAGATAAAGGGATTGTTTAGTATTTTTGCCAAAACAAAATATTGCCAAAACAAAGTATTCAGTTCTGGAGTGAGTACCTCGTGGTCTGCTGACTTTTTTTCCTTTTTTTTTCTTTTCTACCAGAAGCTGATTTTACCACTTATCTCCATGGTGCTGTCTCCAGCAGGATTCTCCCTAGCATGCTGGGGGAGTGTATTTGTAAAAAGTAATAAGAAGCCAAATTTCAAACAGGACCCTGCAGTGGCTAATTAGGTGTTTAAATATGGACTCAAGCTACTATCCAAACTTGAAAACTGGATCCATGTTTAGCACTTCCCTTGGCAGCCAGTGTTACTCTGGTTTCTTTTCTGTCTGGTTTTAGTTGTCCTGTGTCCTGTAGGGGTCTCCCATTTTCATTCAGCAATATCATGTTTAGCAAAGAGCATTAAGTCAGCTCAGGGCACCCACTGAGCAACAGGGGAAACAAAACTGCTGCTCAGCACAGACCACTTCCTCCTCTCCTCTGGTGCACAAGCTCTCACACTGCTCTTAGCTTTTTCATTAAGGGTTCCTTTTGCATTGTGCACACGTGGAGGAAGCAGATACAGGCACTGAGGTGCTGGAGTGAGTCCAGAGAAGAGCAACAAAGCTGGTGAGGGGTCCAGAGAACAGGTCTTACGAAGAGTGGCTGACGGAGATGGGGTTGTTTAGCCTGGAGAAGAGGAGACCTCATTGTTCTCTACAACTACCTGA